AAGGAAAATACCTTTCCTTCGTACAACCAAGGGAAACAAGCTTCCCTTAATGTGTATACAACACTAAGACACTCAAGAACAAGACTCCTTAAGAGTGGATATTGAGTAAAATATATACGCTCAAGAACAACTCAAACTTCACTCGAATTGGCTCTAAGAAGCTATGAAAACTGATGTTGTTTGAATGAAATGATAGTATGAATATTGTGAAGTGAATTGATGTGTAAAGCAGACCCAAACACCCCTTTTATAGTGCCAAAATAGGCTCCAATAGAACAATGCATTAAAGGGGTGATTGGCTTGCTTTATGGGATTGATTAAAATGTGGATCTGCGGGATATTGGCTTCCCAGCGATGTATGGACCTTACCCATTGCTGGTAAGCCAATTTTTCTTCAGTTTTGAAGCCAACGGTCACCTACCCACCGATGGGTACAAGCTTCTCATCGCTGGGTGGGAGGTTGACTTCCAAACAAGGAAAGAATCAACCTTAAATGACTTACAATGGTAATGCCTTCCCAGCGATGGTTATGCCTTCCCATCGCTGGGTTCCCATCGATGGGTAAAGGTTCCATCGCTGGGTAAGGGCATTCTGCCTTGTGTTAATGTTGGACCAAGGCTTTAACAGCGATGGGTAGAACTTCCCATCATTGTTTGGCATGGTTCTGGAACTTGGTTGGGCTAACGGACCGCTTACCCATCGATGGGTAGTTCCTCCCGTCGCTGGGTGGATGGTTAGTCAAAAACCCATGGTTTTTGCCTTAACCACGGCCTAGCGAACCGATGCAAAAACCGACCGAAAAATCCAAAAATCTACAAAATAAAAACCAAGTGTTTAAAAAACTTATTTGATTTATTTGGCTAAGAAATGAAGTGAGACACTTTAAAAACCACGTCATTTGAGTAAAAACCACGGCTAGCCAAGTTTTTGTCGTTTTGCGTGGTTTTTGCCAAACGACCAAAAACGAAAGGTGGTTTTCAAGGTGTTTTTGTTGGAGAACTGTTTAAACATGCCAAAGAGTAAAAACCAATCATAAAATTTTGAAAACCACTTGGTTGGTTCGGACGCCAAAAACCAACGCCGAAAACCGAATGCCGAACGCCGGTTTCTGAAAGCCGAACGCCGGATGGCTTGGTTTTTGGTTTGGGCGAACACCAAGTGTTTTTAATGTCCTAAACAAGTTTGAAAACCATTTTTATGATATTATAAGTGCAAAAATAGATTTTAGCCTAAAGAGCCAAGGCGTGAGGTTTGGGTCGGTCTTGATCACATTTGTGACCGACTCAACGACACTAAGACAATGGTCTTCGTTCTTGGTCTTCTTTTAGCTTTTGTTCTCTTTCTTCTCATCTTTGGTTCTCGCCTTGTATATTCCCAACGACTTTTCTCGTTCTCGGCGGTCTGGCATTATCAAAACCTGTCACAAAAACAAACACGGCTTTAGAATGAAAATGTGACAAACCCGTGTTTCAACACCATCATATAAAATTTCTAGGCAAGAAAGAAGGGCAAAGGATTGTATATGAAACGATGAACAACAAAATTATTAACATTCATTTTATATATATCACATACATATAAGAAATGCATGCAACACAATATCTCATTTCTTATGATGTAACAAAAATCCGAAAGCACTTCTTCATTATACAAATGGTCCTTCTTTACTCCATCCTAACCCATTCTTGAAATGTCACCCTCACTAGTAAATGTATTTCATTTTCTTTGACATATCAAAGTTTCGGCAGCATTTCCCAATTGTTCTCCAAGTGCATGATGTAATGTAGTTACATATGCACCCGAAAAACACATTTAGGAAACGTCAAACCAAAAAATGATAGGACAAAGAGAAAGAAATACATTCACTACCTAAGTGAGAAAAGTATTTCAAGAACAGCTCCAAACTGCGAGCTATTTAAAATTCACTCCTAATGAGTAAATTTTAAACGAGTATCTAGGTCGGTGAATATATGTTATTTCTATATTATAACATCTCAGATCATGTAGAATCAAACAAAAGGAAATTAAATAATTTATATTTCAAACGCAATCTTTATCACAATGTCACATTTCAACTTAAACATAAATACAAAATCAATTCAAATTTATAGTAATTAAAGAAAATACAATGAAATAAATTTAAAATTATATTTACCACTTTGAAAAAAATATTCACCTAATACAAAAATAAATAAATAATTTTATAATTAAAGATTTAAAGTGAAAAAAAATACCTTAAAAATGTGAAGGGAGGTACGGCGAGGGTAGAGGAGCATGGCGACAACACGGTGACAGAAGAGATGGCGGCGAAGGGTTGGCGGCACAACACTAGGGGATGGCAACGACCGGCGACGACAAGAATGTCATACGGGTGATTTGGAGGTTTGTGATAACGGAAAGAATGGCGAAGCTTGGAGCGACGATGAGCGAGGTACGACGAGGGTAAAGAAGCACGATGTCGGTGACAACACGGTGACGGAAGAACGGCGAAGCTTGGATGTTTGAGGCGACGGCAAGAACGGCGAATCTTGGAAGTTTGACGACAACAATGGAGTAGCACAACGAAGCTTTGGATCGGAGGTTATTTTTCAAAATCGCATAAGGATAAGGTATCAAAGGGCGTGATTTAACAACCTCTTTTAAATCGGTTATTAGGAATAACCGATGCAAAAGAGTATTTGCATCGGTTATTAGGAATAACCGATTTAAAAGGTTTTTAGAATTTAAATTGGTTATTTCTAATAACCGATGCAAATACCCTTTTGCATCGGTTATTAGGAATAACCGATTTAAATGCTAAGCGGTTGGGGGATTTTTTAGCTTTTAAATCGTTTATTCCGCTGATCGATGCAAATAGGGCGATTTATTTTGTCGTTTTTGTAGTAGTGGGGAGATCCAACGGCTAAATTTTGGCCTACAATTTGTTCAAAAGTTTGACGGTGCGATAACGAGAAAGGGGAGCGGGGTTTAACGCCCCCTGCGTCAAAACTTGCGTAACGCCGATGGGTGTCAGGGGTATTTCCACTTCTCTTATGAATCAAAAGACGCATAATATGTCCATGAATGTGCATTATTTGAACGAACAGTGGATGGAAAAAATTAATAGCTATAGAATTGGCTTCGGTTATTTTGTGAAGGTAGAGATAGATTCAATAACATATACCTAGTATTTTATTCTTATATATTCTAAAAGTTTAGATCTCACTTATTTACAATAATATTTCCACTTATATATGTCTAGGTAAAGTTTTAATCTAATACTCAATATAAGCTCTTTGTAATTACATTTCACCTACTCTTGAAGAATTAACCTAGGGGTATACCAACATGGGGTACCACATTTGTACACCAAGCCAACACAGACACAAGCAGACACAAAATGTCTGTGCTGCAAAGACATTTTGTGTCTGTGTTGGCTTGGTGTACAACAAGAGTACCTCATGTTGGTGTACCCCTAGCATTGCCCATTCTTGAAATATGCTCCTAGTTTTGAAAGGTCAGTGAGGCTCCACAATTTGATTGTGGCACTCCACATGTTTTTCTTTTGCACAAATAATGCCCTTTAATTATTCTAACCATAAGTTTTACCAGGTTCATCTCGGCCAACTCATTTGTAACTTTTTTTTAGGAAAACATTTGTAACTTCTAAATTTTAAGTTTTAGTTTATGTACAATGACACAAACATATCACTCTTTGTTAGTCATTGGTTGAAATAATAGATATATTTTAGCTCTTGTGTAAAAAAATACAGAGCATAATTTTGTTGTGTTCCATTAGTCTGATCTGATTAGTACCAACTTCTGATTATTAAATAAATCATTAACATAGTATCTTCATCTCTGAGTATTTATTCAGTTTTGACCTTCTATTCAAAATTGATAGATTTTAACCATTGATTAAAAAGAAATCCCTATGAGGATTTAAAAATAGTGAAATAACTCCATTTCATTATTTTCCAGATTTACGAAGTATTTACCATGTTTTTCGTATTGTTTGTTTGATGTATATCAATTACCTATTGTGTGATTAAACTCTTGTCTCTTTCGTCGCCAGGAACATCATTCTCTTATTTTCAGATCACATTCATACGCCATTGGTTTGCCCGCATTTTCTATGATATATGAATGAGAGCTACACACAAATTTTGAATCTCTTACTTCCATACCAAATTTTGCTAAAACAAATAAAATCCCATGCTTTCGGAGTATTATGTCTGGATATTGTGTTATCCAAACATGAGATGCTCAATTTGATAAAAAGTAAACCCCTTAAATAGGAGTAAAACAAGTGTTATATCCTCAAAGTAGGAGTTCTAACATAAACTCCTCTAAATAAGAGTAGTCCCCACGTGCATCATTTCCAAAGTAGATCGTGGCCTCTTCTCGATTCATTGCAATCTCTTCGCCGCCTCCCCACTTTCTCTCATTCTTCGAGAACTCACACGGAACCGCCGCCCTTGTCGCCAACTCCGTCGACTATCCCTTGCTACGCCTCCACTGGTGTCGCCGCCTCCCCCCCACCTTAAGCTTAATTACTATGAATAGATTTTGTAATATTCAACTCAATGGATCTTTCTCAGCATGCTTCTCCCTCTCCATTTTTTGAGTTGTCAATGGTTTATTCTTTAATTTTTTTATTATTTTGAATGGGGTGAGGTTCATGAGGCATTATGGTGATGATGAGTACTCATAGCTACTGAATTGAAGTAGCATGCTCTTAGATGAATTAGAAATTTGAGCACTCATTGGGAAGGAGTCTATGTTTTGAAATAGATCTATGTTTTTATGGGCCATTAAGATGGGTATTTGAAAAAAAATCCAGACTACACACATATGGTTCATGGCTTGTTTGATTTTTTTAAGTTTTTTATTTCAATTTTATTGGCATACTTGCTGTTATACAATGGTATTTGTTGTATTATGCATTGTTATGTTTGACATTATGACTTTGTATACATTATGCATTCGTATGTGTGACTTTTCACAGGGACATGTGTGTCATTGTTCAAGTTCATGTATTGCATTATGTGTTGTCATATTTGACATTATACGTACTACTGTTTGACACTATATGAATCTTTATTGTAGCATTGTGGGCTTGTGGCAGACGATAGTGACGGCGGCAAAGACAGTGGGTGTGACGGCACTTGCGACGCTGTCCTAATTGTGACAACGACAAAGGTGACTAGTGAACTAGTGCGCTAACGACTAGGCTCCTCCGGCCAACAACGATGCTCCTCCTAAGCTCTGCCAGCTTGGACGGTGGCTGGCCTCTTGCATAGCGGCTACTAGATGTGACGGTGGTTGTGAAACCAAGGAGAAGAAGAGCAGAGGCATAACTGAAATTTCCACACCCACAGCACAGTATATAAACCAAAGATACACACACTTATCACAGCAGAAGGTGGTTAGAAATTGTGCTGTAGCGCAACAACTAAGTTTCACAGAATGCTACAACACCTTTTCTAACACCAAACAAAACAAAAACAAAAATAGGCAAAGACACAGAAATTTGTTTACGCAGTTCGGAGCCAACTCTCCTACGTCTGCGAGGCCCACATCCGTGTAATAGCCTTTCCACTAGATCATCATAAGAATTACACAATCAAACTCAACAGACCCTTCTATTGAACAGAGTTGTCTACTTACGTGATCAGACACCAAACTCTGTTTGTGTCAAACTAGGCCTATTACACCTTCTCGTTGCTCTGCAATAAGGATGTNTTCGGAGCCAACTCTCCTACGTCTGCGAGGCCCACATCCGTGTAATAGCCTTTCCACTAGATCATCATAAGAATTACACAATCAAACTCAACAGACCCTTCTATTGAACAGAGTTGTCTACTTACGTGATCAGACACCAAACTCTGTTTGTGTCAAACTAGGCCTATTACACCTTCTCGTTGCTCTGCAATAAGGATGTGTTCTTAACCTTTGCTCAGCTCCACACGATGTCCAAGCTGAACAAATCTTCAGAGAAGATCCATGGCTGATCTTCTCACTGTAGCCTCACGTGAATATATATGATATGCTCTTCTCTTTGATATATCAATTATCTGTCAGTACTCTCTTTTAACCGAATGTGTAAATTCTCGCCTTCCTCTGCCAAGCTGCAATCTCGTATTTATACTTCTGGATTAGCATGGGATGAAACCCTAACCTCTTGTCCCTAGAACTCTTGCGCATACTACTACGTTTAATCCAGGGAGGAGTCATTGATTAAACCAGCTACTTGACAGACCAGGAATCCTTTGTTTAGCTTGAGCAGACGTCTTCCAGCGTAGCGTCCTAGCGTCCTTGTCCAGATAGAATGACCAATAATGCTAACAACACAATTCTTCTATTATGAGGACACTTCTACACTAAACTAGTGATTGTGTGTTGTCAAAAATAATGCCAACACAAATGCTAAATATTAAGGGCCTAACAATCTCCCCCTTTGGCTATTTTTGACAAACACAATCACTTGACACTCAGCCAGGTCTAAAACTCTTCTCCCCCTTTTGGAAAAAATATGCCAAAGGCAAAAGTGTGTATTATTTAATGAACTGGAGAAGAGTAATATTTAGACAACTGGATACAAGAGTGTGTACATTTTGCAACTTAGACACCGCAAAAATGGTCATCCTACCTGTGCAAAGACCTGAGTGAAAATCAGGAGACCATGTGCAGAAATAAGGGAAAGAACAATACCTTCAAAATATTAGGTAGTAGCAATCCTCACCATAACATACCCATATCATAATGCACATAGCAAAAATATGAGTTGATGAATCCATGCCAAAGCATAAGGGACAGAACAATCCCATCAAAATAGTGAGTAGCCAAAATCAGTAGTGTTTTGCAAAAAAAACAACTTGTGGAGTTTAATCATCAAACTTGTGGAGTTCAGCCTCAAAGTCTGACTCTTCATTTGCTAGGTTATCATCCTCTGCATCTGCGTTGTCCTCTCCTTCCTCAGTGGCTTCATCATCTTCACTTTGCTCCCCCTGTGTTGCAGCATCATCTGACTCATCTTGCTTGGGCTTCCCCCCCTGAGATTTAGCAACTTCATCTGGAGTGGTGTTCAGAGATGACATGATAATGGCCCTTTTTTTTTTTGATTTCAGCTTCTTTGATCAGCTTCTTGTATTCCTCAATCTTCTCTTGCAGCAGCTGAATTTCTCCTTTGATGAAGGCTGTTTGGGAAAAGTTTGACTGAAGAATTGCTGGGGCTGTCTTCTGTTCTTCCCTTGTTGCCATGTAATTGTAATGTCTTCCTTCAAAGTGCCTTAAATCAACCTGGAGAAGAGGAGGAGCAGGTTCTTCTTCATCTGCAACTACAAGTTTCTGAGATTTGAGCATTTGATAAATAAGAAGAGGATAAGGAAGCCCATTAGAATTCTGTTTGGCCCTCTCAGATGCAAAGCTCATGATCTGGTCAAAGATGATTTTTCCAAGATTCACAGGTATCTCATGCTTGATTTTGTAAATGAGTGTGGCTATGCAGAGTGGGACTGTGTTCATATGGGTGGTTGGGAGCCAGTGATATGCAGCAACCCTGAACAGTATGGCATAGGAACTTTTGAGGATGGACGAGGGCATTTTTGACTTGGTGGATTGAGATATACGCTCACCATTTGTGAGGTCAGTCCAGACTTGTCTTTCATTCACATTGATTTCAGAGGAGGGAGGTTTTATGTTTAGAAACTGATTGATTTTGGTAGGGGACAGATCAAAGGTTTTCTCTCTCACAAACACTTTGTGGTATGAAGAGTTAGTGTGAATGTTGCAACCCTCAGACAAATTGCAGTAAAACTCTTGAATGACTTTTCTCACATAGGAACCAGGCAGAGTAATTGATTTAAGCAAATTACACTTTTTCAGCACAGGGATTAAGTTTGTTTTTGCTTCAAAATCCTCAACATCAATACTTCTTTGTAGCAGAATGGTTTTCTTGGCAATTTCAGACATGTATGAGCTAGTAATTGATGAAACAAACAGATGTTTAGAAAACTTCCCTGGTTTGGGTGACTTTTCTGCTTTTGCATTTTTCCTTTGGTTGATCTGACTTCTGATTGTGTGTTTTGCTAAGGGAGATGATGTTTTCTGCTTCTTTGAGCTCTCCTCCTGGTCATCCGTTGTTTTCTCCTTTCGCTTTAGTTCCTTCTTTTTCACTTCTTTTGTTTGAATTTCTTCAATCCCTTCTGATTCTTGATTCTCCTTTGCCTTTTGGCGCAGCGACCATCTGGATCCAGTGCGTTTCGTCATTGCTTTCTTGGATGCTGGAGTTGTGAATTGTACATCTTCAAAAGGCACATCTGAGCATGCTAGTAAAGGTTCTTCATCCACAATCTCTGGTATTTCCTTCTGTGACTGCAGATCTTCCTTCTTTTTGCTTTGCATGTTCTCTTCTTGTTGTGTGACTGTGTGCTCTAGGTACAGTGTTTCTGGGATTGTGGCTACAGGGTGTGGAATCACATCATCTTCTGTGTCTTTTCTGACTTCAGCGTCTACAGATCTTGAATCTGGTTGCTCCATGCTTGATTCTTCCAGATTGGGTTGTGGGAGATTTTCTTCGTCTTCTTCTGCCGCCTGTGTTTGAAGATGAACATCGGTTTGTTGTGCGTCCTTTGAAGCCAGTAGACGCGTCCAGCGATGTTTTGCCCAGAGTTCTCTTTTTAGTGCAGATCTTCCCTTCCATCGTTTCGGGAGTGCATGCTTGATTCTCACCATCTTCGTATTTCTTGTTTTTGCTCAAGTTTGTGAGACTTAATTGTTAGGGTTCTTGGAAGACCCTTTATTCGGATGACAATACCGAGGTTCTTACCCCGCCTTCTCTATTTGATATAAAGTAGGTGACTCTTCGTGTGCCTCATTACTGTGTAATGGCGCATGCTATCACTTTTCTTTCAACTCAGCAGATTTCTTGAAAGTTGAGCACATTAGCTGACAATTTGTGCTCATTTTTATTCTTCATGATTTATTGAAATGGTGCGCACAGACCCAAATTGGATCTGAGAGTCTCAAATCTTTCTCCATCAAGTGCCTTTGTAAATATATCAGCTAACTGATGTTCAGTAGGAACATATTCAAGAGCGACAATTTTATCTTCTACTAGCCCACGTATAAAGTGATGTTTGATGTCAATGTGTTTGGTGCGTGAGTGTAGTACTGGATTTTTGGATATATTTATGGCGCTTGTGTTGTCGCAATAAATGGGAATAGTATCATGCTGGATTCCATAATCAGTTAGCATTGACTTCATCCACAAAAGTTGTGCACAACAACTCCCGGCAGCTATGTATTCAGCTTCTGCAGTAGATAATGAGACTGAATTCTGCTTTTTGCTAAGCCATGCTACTAGATTGCCCGCTAGATAGAAGCATCCACCTGAAGTGCTTTTGCGATCATCAATGTTGCCTGCCCAATCTGCGTCACTATATCCCATAAGTTGTGCTGGTGCACCTTTAGAGTACCAGAGACCCATACTATGTGTGCCCTTAACATATTTCAGTATTCTTTTTACTGCCTTCATATGTGATTTTTTAGGCTTAGCTTGATACCTTGCACATACTCCCACACTGTAGCATATATCAGGTCTGCTCGCAGTAAGATACAACAGACTTCCAATGATCCCTCTGTAGTGAGTAGCATCAACGTCCTTTCCATTATCATCCCTGCTTATTTTCTCATGTGTTGGACATGGTGTTCTAGCACTTTTGCAGTCACTCATATCAAACTTCTTTAGCATATTCAGAGCATATTTATTTTGAGATATGAAGATTCCATCCTCAGTCTGTTTGATCTGTAGCCCCAGGAAGTAAGTCAATTCACCAATCATGCTCATTTCAAACTCTTTTTCCATGACTTCAACAAATTTCTCAACATAAACTTCTGAGGTTGAACCAAATAGTATGTCATCAACATAGATCTGAGCTACCAGTATGTCTTTAGCATACCTGATATAGAACATGGTGTTGTCTACTCCTCCTCTGGTGTAACCTTGTTTGCATAAGTATGCTGTTAGTCTATCATACCATGCTCGCGGAGCCTGCTTCAGACCATAAAGTGCCTTGCGTAGTTTGAATACATGTGTTGGATGTACGGTATCTTCAAATCCTTTGGGTTGGGATACATAAACCTCTTCTTTAAGATATCCATTCAAAAAGGCTGTTTTGACATCCATTTGATACAATTTCATATTCCAGACACATGCCATGCTGATGAGTATTCGGATTGATTCAAGTCTCGCCACAGGTGCAAAGGTTTCTTCAAAATCCACTCCTTCAACCTGTGTGTATCCCTGAGCCACTAGCCTTGCTTTGTTTCTTATCACATTGCCGTCTTCATCAGTTTTGTTTCGAAAAATCCACTTCGTGCCAATAATGTTCACATCCTCAGGTTTTGGCACCAGTTCCCATACCTGATTTGGCTCAAACTGTGCAAGCTCTTCCTGCATTGCGTTTATCCATGCTTCATCTGTCAAGGCTTCTTTGACATTTCTTGGTTCAACGGATGATGTATAGAAGGCATTGATCATCTCAACATTGTCAATCTTCTTTTTCCGAGTGCGCATACCTTCTTGTGGATCTCCAATCACATTTTCTAGAGGGTGATTCTTTTGAATGTGAGTGGGCACTCGGACTTCTTCTGGTTGACTTGCCTGTGGTTCTGCATCTGATTGATCTTCTATGTCCGTTGTTGGTGAAGCTTCTTCAGTTTGCTGTTCAGCAGGTGGTTCATCATCTCTTGTGTCACTGTCATTCTTCCATAGTTCCTTGTCATCTACTATGACATTAATGGACTCCATGATTGTCCTGGTGCGTTTGTTGAATACTCTGAAGGCTTTGCTGTTTGGTGAGTATCCCACGAATATAGCATCATCACTTTTTGCATCAAACTTACTTCTATGCTCTCGATCTCGAAGAATGAAGCATTTTGCACCAAAAATGTGAAAATGTCCCACATTTGGTGTTCTCCCTTTCCATAGTTCATATGGAGTAGCTTGAGTTCCACTTCTTATGTACACCCGGTTTATTGTGTAGCAGGCTGTGTGTACGGCTTCTGCCCAAAGATTTTCTCGCAATCGTTGTGTGTGAAGCATTGTTCTTGCCATTTCCTGCACATGTCTGTTCTTTCTTTCGGCTACCCCATTTTGTTGTGGGGTTTTTGGTGCTGAGAACTCATGTGCTATTCCTTGTTCATCACAGTAGTTGCTGAAAGGTTGGCTGTCAAACTCCCCTCCATGATCACTTCTCACTCGTATAACCTTTTGAATCTTTGACTGTTTCTCATTTTGGACTTTGTTGCAGAGTGTAGCAAAGGCATATAGTGCGTCATCCTTATGCCTTAAAAAGCATACCCATGTATACCTTGTAAAATCATCAACCACCATGAGCACAAATGTCTTGCCTCCAATACTTTCAGTCTTCATAGGTCCAAAAAGGTCTATATGCAGCAGCTCCAAAGGACATTTTGTGGACTGAAGTACCTTGACAGGATGAGTTTTGCGAGTCTGTTTTCCCTTTTGGCAAGGACCACATATCTCTGTCTCTTTATTGATAATTTTTGGTAATCCCCTCACAGCTCCTGAATTCGACAGAGTTACAAGATCTTTATAGTTCAGATGCCCCAGACGATAGTGCCATAACCTTGCATCTTTTTCACTTGCTGAGAAGCAGAGAACATTTGGGGTTACTTTATAGCAGTTATCTGCGGTTCTGTCACCTTCAAGCACCACTTGTTTGCTTCTGTCTCTTACTCTGCACTTTTGTTGTGTAAAAAATACTTCCAGCCCTTGATCACATATTTGACTTATGCTAAGCAGATTCACCTGTAATCCTTGGACTAACCATACATTTTTGATAGGTGGTAGTCCGGATACATTGAGCGTGCCA